AAAAGATTCCTGGGTATTACCTTACAGTTGTGGTTACAATGCAGTGTATAGCTATACACCACTGCCATTATTTCTGGGTGAATAAATAACATGAGCCAACAGAAAGTAAACCATAAGGTTATTTAGTAGAGTGTGCATTGCCAATAAGCCAAATAAATTACAAACAAATTTCCAATATTGTTCTGTAACAGCCAAACTGGAAAAAGGATTAGCTATGTTTTCAGTTTGGCAATTTTTGCTTGAAATTTAAAATTCATAGTTTATGAAAGAATCCTCCATGTGTTTGTTAACATTGTTAACAGGTGTTCTAATGTCACATTTACCCAATAAAGCAGGAATAACCATTGATAGACATTGATTAGTTTTTGAAAGGTTTACATCCACCAATTCATTCAGAATCATGTGATATTTCAATGCCCAGTTGTTTAAATGGTGACCAGATTTAAATGAGGTCCTAAGGAAATTTTATTACATACTCAGCCATAAAAACAATTACAATATTTGAGCTCACCAACAACTAAAGGTTCAGAACCATTTCAAGTATATACATATACTCAAAATGGTTTACACAGACAACCAGTTTATCACAAATTAAGAAAATGTAACCATAATAAATTGGGCTTTAGACTATATCTACAAAGCAAATCCTGATGTGTTATAATATGCAGGCAGACAAAGCAGATGCAGAGAGTCTCTGTTTGGATTATATATGTAATTCTAATATAAAACATTATGTTATGCAAGTTATGTCTCAGTAAAAACAAAGTCTGAAATGAAAAATGCAGTGTATAAAATATGCTAAGGGTGGCTCCTATAGGTCTCCATTTGCAGAACTAACATTATGGGTTTATTATAAAACAGTATTAACAAAAGCACTGAGGACCTTCATATTGATTAACATGCTTTCTTCTACTGTGATACAGCAATGAACCTGGAAATGGAAATGGTTAAATGAGTAAAAAATGTATGGTACTATGTAAAGATGTAGTACTTTTGCATTAAGTGGTGGATCTATCTGTTGGTATATCAACATTTATATACTGCACATATAGGCATAAATACAGTGCCAGTCAAAACTTAGCCGGAAACTTGGTATATAAATATTTAAAGATTTTTTACGTATGCTTATAGATCTGGTAACGGACAAATATTTGTTGGAAGCTGTGTTTCATGCAGTGTAATTTGAGCAACTGATGCTGAAATGTGTATTCTTTTCTTGCAGTTAGCTGAGCTTGAAATTCACTTGCAGCAAATCGATTATTTCCCAGATCTGTGACTCAAATTAATGTATTCCTCCCATTCAGATGGCACTTTTGACATTGCTATGGCAGCATGAATTTAAGTATTTTTATATTGTTCAGTGGTCTTAGCTACAGGAATTACCAGATTGTATTAATTACATGACATAAAGTCATGATTCTAATAAGGACACGGAGGCGAGTATTAGGCTTTATCACTTTCTTTATTCCTCAGCAGCAAAGAAATTATATTAAAGTATTAATATAAAAAAAAAAAAAAAAAAAATACCTCCTAAAGGGTTAACCATTTAACATTCTAGTATATTCAACCAATGGGAGCAGTCCTTGTTCCATGTACTCTCATGTGACCTAAGCAACTCCCTCTTTCTAGCTGATGTCAAAGCCAAAAATTAAACGATCAACATGAACAATCGCTGGTAGAGGGCTCTAGGGAGCATCCTCCATTGTAACCAAGAAGAGAAAAATTAAATCCTGAGTGATCCATTGTAGGGTTTAAGCTGTAGGAGATAGAGACACATGTAGTAAAATATGTTCAAATACTGCTGTCATACATATGTAACCGTGACAATTTAAACATTTTATAAAATTGAACATGAGTCCAACAAAAAAACAAATCATTCTAAGTATTCGGCAACCCACATTAAAGTCCAGACAAATCATACATGCCATTGAAATTGGGTGGGAAGACAAAGCGCACGACTTACCTGGCTTTGGGTGGGCTAATACTCTCCTTCGTGTCCTTAATAAAATCATGACTTTACATCATGTAATTAGTAAAATCTGGTAATTTTATTACAGGACATGGAGGCTAGTTTAAAACTGTGAGATAACCATAGAAGAAATGTGTTCCGCTGGACGAAAATAGTACTCTTTGAATGTTGATTCTCGAGACCAATCAGCTGTGCGAAGAAGGTCTTCCAATTTACAACCCACTGTGAATGCCTTCAAAACGATAGCGCCTCAAATAGAATGAGCTCAGTAGACTGATGTGTCGATGTTAGCAGCTGACATTATCCATTTCACCCAGCATGCCTGAGACACCGTGGATACTGGGTGATGAGGTTTCTTCAGAGCCAAAAACAGGTCCTGTGTTGTTGCTTTCCTGAATGGCTGAGTCCGTAGCTCATACTCTTGGATGCATGCTACCGGCAGAGGTTAGCATTGTGAGGAAAAGAGGGGTAGAAGACTGAAGTGGTCTTCGACTTTCTACATCTGGTGATATTAAACCAAAGACTGTTTGGAGTAAAGGAACGTGCGTTGATATCCAGAGCTCGAATGTCCGACACCCTTTTACAGGATATTAAACACAGGAGCATAGCCAATTTTGCAGACACTTGTTTGAGAGTAAGGTCCGAGTTCGTAGGCCAATATTCCAATTGATGAAGAACCAGATTGACGTCCCATAAAGCCATGTATCAGAGCTGTGGTGGACGTGCGAATTTAATGCCTCGTAGAAGACGACAAACCAGCAAGTGTCTCAGCCGGGAAGCCATTCCAATCCGCGGTGACCAGCAGAGATCGCTGATCTATACACATTTATCGTGCTGTAGGTCAGGCCTTGGTGTTACAGGGCGGTAAGGAAACTCAAGATCTGGTTAATAGAAGCACTTATGGGATCCACGTGTTGTTCCATGCACCAACCACACCATGTGTTCCAGGTATGGGTGTAGGATCGTATTGTTCCTGGAGCCCAAGCTCCTGCCAATAAGTCAAGAGTTGCTTGCGAAATGTTCAGCATGACCCAAGGTCCCCGGAGAGGTGCCACACCAGGAGTCTGAGGTGTCCCTGAACCAGAAGGGGGTGAGAGTTCCCATTGGGATCTGATAGTAGATCCATGGATCCTGGAATTAGTCTGGGGAGGTCGATAGACATTTCCATGAGTAAAGAGAACTAAGGCTGTGCCGTCTAGAACGGTGTTATCAAAACTAGAGATGTAGATGTAGGAGGGTTCGAGTTATTCAACCAGGAGGCGAAGAGGTCGATGTGCATCGGGCCCCAGAGTTGTTGGAGCCACAGGAATATCGTGTGGTTCAGTTGCCAGGCACTGTTGTCCTGTAGATGCTTGGAATTTCAATCTGCTATGATGTTGGATAATCATAAGGTATGCTAAGGATAAGGTATTCTGCTTGTATCGATATGTTGCAATTCAGGCAGAAGTGCCAAAACTCTTTTGCCAGGTTCGTGAGTATCGTGGATCTTGTGCCACCCAGGTGGTTGATGTAGCAAATGGCCGAGATATTGTCCATGCGCAGTAGGATGGAACAATTGGTTGTGTCTCCGAGAAGGCTCCGAAGGGCGAATGAACCCACTAGGAGTTCCAGGCCATTGATGTGAAGCTCCTTTTCCTGTGATGACCATTTTCTACCTGCCGAGTCTGCTTGTGTCGGATTCTATGATGAGATCCGGGGTGGTTCTGAAGATTGCCCTGCTGTTCCGTGCTTCCATGTGTTGCAGCCACCATGCGAGTTCCTCTTTTGCTGAGCAATCTATTGGAACAGAATCTGAGTAAGATTGACCCAGGCGTAGGAGTGTGGCCTTGAGTTGTTGCAGGGCTCTGTAGTGGAGGGGTCCTGGAAAAATCGCTTGTATGAAGGCAGAGAGAAGGCTGATTATCCTTGCGAGTTGACCGGTTGTGCCAGCGTCTGCCGGATTTCCTTTTTGAATCCCAAGAACTCTATGGTGTGGGAAGGATGCAGGATTGACTTCTCCCAGTTGATTAGGAAACCTAAGTTTTAAAGGAGGTACAGCACTCAGGAGAGATGTTTACTCAGTAACTGAGTGTTGTGGGCCATGATTAGCATGTCGTCGAGGTATATGATCATACGCACATCCCTGCTGCGTAGGAGGGCAACCACCGGCTTCAGCAACTTGGTGAAAGACCACGGGGATGAGGACAGGCCAAACGGGAGACATTGGAAACGCCACATAGTCTTTTCCCATTGGAATTGAAGTAGATGTTGACACTCTTTGGCGATCGGAATCGTGAGGTACGCGTCCCGGAGATCGAGCTTCACCATCCAATATCCCAGTCTTAGGAAGTCGCGAAGGCAGTGTACCGCTGTCTGCCGGCCCCACTGAAAACCTTCTGGGAGAACACCCGTTTCATACTAATTTTTGCTTTGTCTAGTGCCGTGAAGGTACTGACATACTTGCCCAGGTCTTTTACAAAATGGTCTCCAAACAGGAGACCTTTTGCCTGTGTGCAAGGCTCAGATATTGCCAGGTTTAGGAGTTTAGGCTTGATTTTCATAAGTATGGCTTTACACCGTTCAGTGGCCAATGCAGTGTTAGCGTTGCCAATCAGGCATATACCCCTTTGGATCCCTCCTCTGATGGCCAACAGGTATATTGGGGTCCCCTTAGTCAGGGCTGTTTCGGCCATGTCAAATATCTTGGCTACAGGCCCTAGTATGTCCAGGACCTTGTCCTGACAATGTCGTAGGGAATAGTCTAGTCCCTTTTTGGCCTTCCAGCCCGATTTACCCAGAAATTGGGCGATTTTAGGATCCACTTCGGGGGTCACGCAGGCCATGTCTGGGACCGTAGGACATGGGCCCTCTGCTCTTAATTTACTCCTCGTGGCTTTATCTAGGGGCTTCCTAACCCTAGTGATGATGTATATGGCCACATAGGCAGTGGGACACCAGTCGGCCGAGTGAGGGTTATGCAAGGCATCAGGGTCAAAAAGGGGTTTCCCTTTAAGGTCTGCCTCCTGCCTAGCCTCTATGGCTGGCAGTGCAGTCACACTGCATTCGGGGGAAGAGTCCTCCGAGTAAACTGGGTCGATGGCATCGGACCTGTCTGAAACCTCCTCTGAGTCTGAATCAGAGTTGGACGAATTAGGCAGGGCTTTTGCCCTCTTCCAAGTCCGCACCTCTTTTGCCCAATATCAACAGGGCACAACCTGTCCATCACAACATTTTTGGAGGCAAAATTTGTCACAAGGGGAGATTTGCTCGTAGCCTTGCGGTCGCTAGGGACCATCGACTTATTATCAGAGGCCATAGGGGGCGTTGGGCCGGAGGCCCGGCCAGATGGCATGATAGCGGAAGAGATGGAGTGGGACAAGTTGTCCGACATAACCCCCATGGCAGTGTAAATGGCTTGGGTAACGGATATGCTCATGGTAGCATCCAGGAGCGAGTGGAACTCTTCTGAGTTCATGTTTTCCGGGAACGCTTCCTCTACCCCTTCAGGGGTTGTAGGACCTGCGGGCACAGCGGTTATGCAGTGTCTGCTGGGCTTAGCAGAGGCATTAGGAGCAGCAGCCTGCATGTCAGAAGGGATATGCATAGTAGTTATGGAATAGTCACCACAGAGGGCAGTCAGGGGTTAATCCTGACAGTATAGTGAAGTTAAGGTTAGGTTAGGGAGGAAAAACCCAGAGCCAGCTGATGAATGGCAGTGTGCAAACAGGGGGCAGCACCAGGTTAACTGAGAACCCCAGAGCTAATAATGAACAGGTAATATAACTGGGGAGCACCAATTAATGGGGTAGCTTACCGAGTGTTCCCTCATGAATGGCCCATGGGGAACACTGGTAAGCTGCCTGACAACTCACTCAACAGTGGGAAACCGGGTTATAAACAACCAGGGGAGGGGCAAGGAACCCTGTAATGGAAAATATGAAGCAACAGTATACAAGATCATGCAAATAATGAGGTATTTAATGCATTAACTTAATTATCCCCAGGCAGAAAAAAAACACATTTTTATAAAGTACCATAAGTACCCTAAAACACAACATATCCGTTCACCCAGATCAGAGCTATCAGGGGATGTAACATGGGGATACGTTGTTTTTTGGGGTACTTATTGGACTTTATAAAAATGTGTGTTTTTTCTGCATGGGGAAAATTAAGTTAATGCTTTATCTACCTTAATTATATCGCAGGCAGAGGGGAGGGTTTGTGTACTGTATGTTGGAGTGCCGTTCCTTATCACATTGTTTTTATTGGCTTGAATACTTTGTGTCCTGTGCCCAGCAAGGTCCACCTGGACATTAACCTTGTTGGGAAACTTGCATAAATGGCCAGTGTGCCCCATTAAAGCTGAGTTCCTGTTTTACCCTCAACATAGAGTCTCGTCTCATGTGTATGGAGAAGGCTGCATGTACCCTGGGGATTGCTATATCACTGTACTCCCCAGGGATTATAATCACTAAGCTCTTTTAATAGCTGTTCCTGCTTGACTCTCTGGAGGAAGAGATGTTCACCCACTGGAACCTGGAGCCTTGTCATAAGTTCAGGGTGGGTAGGAGACAGCGAGTTCCCAGCCAAGCTGTTACGCTGGACTTGGGGACTGCGGTGCTGATGGTGTCTGGTGGAGTGCTTGGAGTCCTCGTGAGCACTAGGAGCATCCGTCGTGGAGGTACCCAACTTGGGTACAGGAAGTTCCGTTACATTGGTGGCAAGTGGTGGGATGGCTTCCTAGCCTTGGGAAAACCAGTACTACTTCAGAGATGGAAGGCATGTACCATCGGGCAGTATCCCACTTTGATGCCAGGCTCCAGAAGCGACTACAGGATGTGCTGCGCAGTATGGAGTACCCTATCCCAGAGGAAAGTGAGAGAGTGGAGGGTGGCGCTTCGAACCGATCTCTGGAAAGAGGACATCGACAAAATTCTACCCTTTCCAGTGTGAGGAAATCCTGATCACCAACCAGCAGGTTTTTGAAGATGCTATGGTGTTAGGAGACCCAGGCAGTTCCTGCTTCTGGTACAGGATTATGCTCGCCTATTTAGCCGGGTAATGCCGTCTGTCTCTGACATGATGGGGATTATGGACTGTATACCAGTGTTGAGTTTCGTCCCTCCTCCCCAGCAAATAAGCCTGTCATCAGGAGACCTGGGTACTGAACCACCTACTTCCCAGCCAGTCCCAGAGAGAAGAGAACTTATCGACTGGTCCTTGGAAGACCCCCAGTTGGCAGGTGGAGATGGGACCGAGGCCTCTCCACCGGCCCTACAGGGATTCTGGGCAGCAGGCCCAGATCTCCAAGCCCAGAGGGAGGTGTTACAGGCAGTGGTGTATCCTGGTTTTGTGCTATCCTAGGCAGGACAAAACTCAGGCGCCCCCTCCCCCCACGCCACCCCCACACAACCATTCCCCCCCGCCCCACCTTCTAAATACACACACACACAAATACACACACACACACAGTCAGACACACACACACACAGTCAGACACAAACACACACACAGTCAGACACAAACACATACACACAGTCAGACACATACACACACACAGTCAGACACAAACACACACACACAGTCAGACACAAACACACACACACAGTCAGACACAAACACACACACAGACACACACACAGACACAAACACAGTCAGACACAAACACACACAGTCACAAACACACACACACACAGTCAGACAAGAACACACACACAGTCAGACACAAACACACACACACACATTCAGACACAAACACACACACATAGTCAGACACAAACACACACACACACACAGTCAGACACAAACAAACACACACACACACACACACAGTCAGACACAAACACACACAATCACTCACATTAACTTTTTTTTTTAATTTAAACCCCCCCCCCCAACCTCCTTACTTTTGGGAGTGCTAGGGGGGAGGGTATCTCTCTCCCTGGTGGTCCAGTGGCTGCCGGTCGGCTGGGCGGCGCTGGCTGCTGTGTGGGCGGCTGGCGAGGGAGCTCTTCCTCTGAGTTGTCTGCTCAGCTCCCTCGCGCTCCGCAGAGTGAGGCTGGGAGCCGGAAGATGACGTCATATTCCGGCTCCCAGCCTCACTCTGCGGGCGGCGCGCGAAGGAGCTGAGCAGACAGCTCAGAGGAAGATCTCCATCGCCAGCCGCCCGCACAGCAGCCAGCGCCGCCCAGCCCGACCGACATGTCAGTTAGCCGCGAGGCTAACTAGGCATTTGCTCTCGGCTTTTGGGGGGTGGCATTTTTTCCGGCCCCCTGAAAAATGCCACCCAAGGCAAATGCCTTGTTTGCCTCACGGCTAATACGTCCCTGGTTACAGGGAGATGAGACAACCGGACTCTCTCCCCAGTGGCAGACAGAGTTACAGGAAGAGGAGAGCATCGTCCTCCATCCCCAGCGGCAGAGTGAGTTACAGGGAGTGGAGACGGTCAGTCTCACTCCCCAGCGGCAGTGGGCAACCACGGGAGAGGAGAGTATTGTCCTCCATCTCCAGCTGCCAAGGATGTTACAGGGAGTGGAGATGACCGGCCGCACTCCCCAGCGATAACGTGTGTTATTGGAAGAAGAGACAGTCCGTCTCTCTCCCCAGCGGCAGACAGAGTTACAGGGAGACAATATCGTCCTCCATCTCCAGCAGCCAAGGGTGTTACAGGGAGTGGAGACGACCGCGTCTCACTCCCCAGCGGCAGCGTGTGTTATTTGGAGAAGAGACATTAGTCTCTCTCCCCAGTGGCAGAGTGTGTTACAGGGAGTGGAGACAACTGGTCTCACTCCCCAGCGGCAATGTGTATTCCAGGGAGAGAATGGTGTCACCCTACCTCCCCAGCGACAGAGCGTATTATTAGGAGATAACGGTCAGTCTCTCTCCCCAGCGGCAGTGTGTGTTACAGGGAGTGGAGACGGTCGGTCCAACTCCCCAGAGGCTGGGGCTGTCATCCAGAGATAAGCCCCCTAGCATGGATGGTGCAGATGGGACCAAGGTTGTCTGCTCAGCTCCCTCGCGCGCCGCCCGCAGAGTGAGGCTGGGAGCCGGAATATGACGTCATCTTCCGGCTCCCAGCCTCACTCTGCGGCGCGCGAGGGAGTTGAGCAGACAGCTCAGAGGAAGAGCTCCCTCGCCAGCCGCCCACACAGCAGCCAGCGCCGCCCAGCCCGACCGGCAGCCACTAGACCACCAGGGAGAGAGAGACCCTCCCCCCTACAGGGATGCTGGGCCAGATCCCCAACTGCCCATTCCCAACCATGGTCCAGGTGCAGAAGAGAGAACTACGGCCTCTACTGACCTCCTTCCAGCAGAAGAGCTGGCTACGGGGCAGAGTGCCACTGGCCTCTACCCACCAGGCACGGATGAGGGAAACTGCACCCTCCGTCCCCAGCGACAACTTTATCCAACCAAGGGGGAGGGCATCCAGGTCGTTTCCCCATAGGACACTGGATGTACAAATGGGTATTTGTGGCAGGAGGCCATCTAAGAAACTAGGCCTGCTTGTCCAGCAGACTATCAGAGAACCAGACCGATTGGAGGTCTGGGGTCTGGATAGTCTCCACCGGGAGAGGGAAGATGTGTGACAAACTCCCCTTTTCAAGTGAGTTTGCTACGAGTTTTTGGAGGGGCCTGCTTGCCAGCCTCCTGCCCACAGACTATGGGCCCTTCAGGGAAACCTGTAAAAGACTACCGAACTTGACCGACTGTCGGTCAAAACTATGATTTCCAGGAAATTCCTGAACCAATCTGGGTGATTTTTGGATATGTTGTTAACCCAGATCGGGGCTAACAGGGGATGTAATAATTTACTCAATTTATATTTTAATTAATTCTATGTTAAGGATAAAAATCAAGAATCATGAAATATTTAGAATACATGTATCAATTAGGTATATTTACCCAGTACTTTCTCTGATTCTATACTTGCACACAAGTAAACTAAAGGGTTAAACATTGACTAACACAGACAAGACCAGAGAGTTTAAAACAGAACGAAGAAACGTAGATGCCATCCTCTGATGAAGTGATCCTACGATCACGAAACGCGTAAGGCGGCATCCTGTATCGGTTCCCGAGAGTCAGCAAACTGGAACGCATCCAGAGCCGCAGTGGAACGCACGCGGCTGACCTCCAGTGTTGATCCAGCATGAGGAGGTCCAGACTCACTCCTGTCCGGCCGGCAAGAGAGTGATACGAACATCCCTGGACCTTCAGTCTGCAAACCTGGTATTCTCTGCTGTCTCATTTGGGACATTTTAATTTATTTGTCATATATATATATATATATATATATATATATATATATATATATATATATATATATATATATATATATATATATATAATGTGTTGACAGTTTTTATGTACTATTAAATCTTACAAAATAGTACTCTGTCTGCTACACTATATAATTGACATACAAATAAGGATTTTAACCCCTTGTGGGATACATACAATTATATTCTAATTTGT